TTTTTTTTTTTTTGCAGTATGAGGGCCTCTCACTGTTGTGGCCTCTCCTGTTGCAGAGCACAGGCTCCGGACGCACAGGCTCAGCGGCCATGACTCACGGGCCTAGCTGCTCCGCGGCATGTGGGAATCTTCCCGGACCGGGGCACGAACCCGTGTCCCCTGCATCAGCAGGCAGACTCTCAACCACTGCGCCAGCAGGGAAGCCCTTATTGTTGCTTCTTTAAAGGTACTGTTTCCCCCATCTCTGGCTGCTTCTCTGATATTGTTTTCATTGGGGTTTTTTTTTTGGCCACGTTGGGTCTTCGTTACCGTGCGCGGGCTTCTCATTGCAGTGGCTTCTCTTGTTGTGGAGCACGGGCTCTAGGCACGCGGGCTTCAGTAGTTGTGGCACAAGGGCTCAGTAGTTGTGGCTCACGGGCTCTAGATTGCAGGCTTAGTAGTTGTGGCGCACGGGATTAGTTGCTCCATGGTATGTGGGATCTTCCCGGACCAGGGCTCGAACCCGTGTCCCCTGCACTGGCAGGCGGATTCTTAACCACTGTGCCACCAGGGAAGTCCCTGTCTTTGTCTTACTGTATGGCTGTCTCTGTTCTTATCATGTTTTGTATTCTTAGGGCTTCTCAAATGTGTGCTTGATGAAATTTTTTTGTTTTATGTTTTAAGTTTTGGAAAATTCTCAGCCATCACTTTTTTCAAATACAGCTTCTATCCTATTCTCTCTCTTTCACATACATCTTTCCAGAATTCCTGTTACACATATGTTAGACTTTTTTACTATGCCCCATGTCTCTTACACTATTTGTATTTTCCTCTTTTAGCTTTATTCATCAGGCTGTTATTTCTTCTGGCCAATCTTCCACATCACTAATTTTCTCTTAAGCTATATCTAACGAACTGTGAAAAACTAATGTTTTTAATTTCATGCTACTTTTTAGTTCTAAATTTTTCAAATTTTCCTTTAGTTCTAAATTATTTTAAATTTTCCTAAATTTAGGATTTTTAAAAAAATCTGTAGTTCTTTAATAAAATTATCACTTCAAAAAATTTCTTGAAACCACTGTTACTTTAAAATTCATGTCTGATAAACTCATTATCTGGATCCCCTATGTATATAGTCTATTGTCTCACTTGGTTCTTATTCATGTTGGTTTCCTTCCTTGTATGTCTTAAAAAACAAACTTCTCAGTTAAAAACTGAATGCTTGTGGGCTTCCCTGGTGGCGCAGTGCTTGAGAGTCCGCCTGCCGATGCGGGAG